CACCGGCCAAGGTTGCACGGATCAGCCCTTAAACTGTCACCGATGACAGCGGGAGCTACCGGCCTGGAAACCCATAAACCGCAGATCACCTGACAGGATACGGCGGTCCAGCAGGCTGGCGTGTCACTTGGCAGACGTCTGGGAAAAGCAGGATTTCTCCCAGAGGTGTAACTGGTGCGCCAGCAGGGGTGTGTGCTCAGATATCCATGCTAAAACAAGGTCCTGACTCATCTCCATCTTTAAAGATGTTCATTAAATCTGCATCTGAACAGTAGGACGTGCAACCTACAGTGTTTCTGCACACATGTTCCACTGAAACTCCCAGGAGACCATGTGGTCACCAAGCCAACCCCATCCAGATAAAATCATACATGTAGTGACACCTCTGGTATGAAAATGCCTACCCAGCATTACTGGGGGTGGATGTTAACTGTGGTGAACTGATGATGTTCAAGTGAACCATGCCCTATAGCAGAGTTTCCCAGTCTGGTCCTTGGAGACCCCCAGTTAACATTTACTGGGAGCTGAGAAGGAGCAAAAGTGTGGACAATCTGAGGGTCCCTGAGGAGAAACACTGCCCTATAAGTAATGCCAATCCAATACACCATTAGTACTGTGATTAATTACGAGCTGGATGTTGGTTCAAATCCCATGTAACCTTCAGTATGACTTTTATTGAGTCTCGGAATATATAGCTGTGCAGCAGGGTATTATTTCAAGTCAGGGTGGACAAAAGGAATCAGATAAGGCACTGGTTAACAATGCTGCGGTAACCCCCCCACTGCGTAGTTTGCAAATGCATTTCCACAGTAAATGGTACTCATGGTAAATCGGACATTCGTTACATTTTGCATTGAAGCGCCACAAAGCAAAGTTTCAAATCCAAACCAAAAACCGTACTTATAATGGTGTGTTTCATACCATATTCAATTATTATTATATTATAGGATTTTAGGTCTAAGTTCTGATACCAATATTTTCAATGTGTCTAAATAATAGACAGATATAAGCTGTGAAGGGGGGGGGGGTTAATGGCAGCATAAAGTATATTCCAGAAGGATCTGCCACACCTTCGGCCTGCTGCCATAAGGCCGCCTCCCAGTTAATAACCTGTGGATTCATTCAGTTATCGGCAAAGTGGGTCACAGCAGCTGGATTGCAGTGCAGCCTTCTCGGTTCTGATCCAAACTCCAGTTCCGCCGCTTTCGGCCTCGCAGACGTCACCTCCCAGCACAGCACGGCACCGTGATTACAGTAATTAATGTGGGCATTAATCTCGGGCAGCATTCTGACAGTTTGGCAGTGGGCCCAGGGGGACGGGAGGAATGGCCCACTTTCCAAAAGCAGGGGGGAGGGGGCTGCACCTAATAACCATCAATTTTCATTCTCGTGCCCCCTTCCCCTGCACATATCCTAATACCACTGATCTTTTTGAGGGAGGGCATGCAAGTACAGCGACAGCTGTGAAGGACAAACAGAAAACTGCATCAGCAAGAACAAGCTCGCTTTGTGCAGCATCACTCCCTATATATAGCATATCTAATAAAGAAGGTTATAAAATACATGAAGCCCTGAAGAAAAGCATGATACATAAAAGTAGCAAGGGGGGGAGGGATCTACAGTCCTGAGGGTGCTGCCCATTTAAAACATATCAGGACCAGCGTGGACACACGCGGACGAACACACACGCGGACGAACACACGCACACACAATCACTCCCCACTCGCCCGGAGGACGCCCCGTTTTCCTGTCCTCCTCTTCCTAATGACTCGGCTCCCCCACATAACCATTCGTCTCCTGCTTTTCCTTGTAGACCCCTCCATCTTCGGGTAGAACCTAGACACGCTTCTCATTCCCATTTGGCTCCTTGCCCACGGTCCCATTAGCGTCGTTTCCCCCCCCCCCCCCCCATTCTCACTCCCGGGCAGGATGTCTGTGGATACGGACCCGTTGACGGACCTCCCTCAGCCTGGTCTCTGGCAGACAGCAGTTTCCATCCTCCTTTAAACCCCTAAAGCAGGATTGCCGATTGGGGCAAACCCAGGTGGCATTGCTGCATAAATGGCTCATTGGCTCAGCTGCTCAGTGCTTCTTCACTGAGGCCTGGGTTTGACTCCCCCCTCGGCCTCAATTTGCCTGATTAATCCCAGGGACTCAGCTGACACCAGCAGGAATTTGCAAGAAAATACATATTTGCTTTACAGGAGAAATGGCAGCTGGAGATGTATGGGTGACAGTAATGGGAGCCGCTCCAGGGCCCAAGCTAACAGTGGGGTTTGGCTTTCAGGTCTGTTTCATGACTGCCATTAGAAAAAGACCCAGATAGCATGTTTTATGATGAGTGCAACCTTCATGCTGGGCTTATTACTTTTGTTTTATATGCGGTAATTGCAGGTGCGCATAAATTTAGCATTGTATTTTGTAGTTCCTTCCCAATCCACCCAAAGAAAAAGAAGATTTTAACCTGAACAGGGGATTTTTTTTAAGCTGGGGAGGCATAATTCATACAGAGGGCCCAACCATTTCATTAGCCAATGATATGTTTAAAATTGATGAGTGACAGAGGAATGGGCCAATCAGCTTTCAGCTAGGGACAGTGCCCCCGCGGTCCTGCCGCTGTATACGCCCCAGAACCTAAGCAACTCGCGAGTGCTGCAAATGGCATTTTCTCCAGATGCAAAGTGCGGAGGTTTAAACTGTAACTCAAGGGCTCCCTAGAGGATCGCTGTGCAGTGGGGATGGGGATTGGGGCAAGGAGGAGGGGGTGGCAAACAAATATTTGAGTGGCACTCTGCTGATTGGGTCAGACAGCTGAGGCCCCCTTGTCACTAAGTTGCCTAATCTTATTTTTTTCTGTTCAAGTCAAAACCGTGATTGGAGGAGTACTTGCGTGCATGAACAGCTGATTGGCTGAATCAGCCGTGGGTGTGTCCAGTTCCTTACTTGGGCATCACAGAAGGCAAAGGGTCCTGACTCTTGGAAACAGCCTAAAATGACAACAGCAGCACATCACGCCTACAACCTGCAGAGGAGACTAGCGAGTGACCTGACAGGTCAAAACCCTCCCCCTGCCGTTTCAGCCCGCACCCCAGGGAAGGCAAAGCAAGCCAGCAGAGCGGAACAGGGCAGCAGGTTCACGTTGGCCGAAAGCCCGGTGCTCACTGATGCGGACCAGGGGACTGTGAGGAGGACATTGCTGCCTGATGCAGAGCAGCACTGTGATAGGTTATAGGGAAGATGGCTCCCAGCACAGCAGTGTCACATCAGGACAAAGCGATGGGATTGTCCTCCTGAGCACTTACAACGTACGAGTGTGTAAGGCCACTTAAAGCGCCAGATAGATGCGTCCAGAGCCACACAGGGTAGGTGGTGTGATGTTCGGGGCGGTCCCAATTCTGCAGACCCCACCCACCATCTCATCTCACCGCAGAGCAGCTGGCGTGATCTCTCCCCCCCCCCCCCGTGCAGGTCCCTAGAGGCAGAACCGATGCAGAAGAGGACAGGCGGCCAAGCATCGATTACCATCTCGCAGGAAACAGAGATGGGCTGCTATGAAAGGAGAATATATCGTGCCGGCATTTCCAATAAGCGTGAATCCAAATAGGACACAAGCACGAGCTCGGCGATTTACACGAGCAGGCACAGAAACATGCACACTCTGCTCATCACATTCAGTTCTGTGACACTAACAAACCTTTACCAACTAAATGCTGTTGGAACAATGCAATCCCCAGAGAGCCCCGTCCCCTCACCCCCCAAATCTAATCCCTACTCCTCCCATAACCTCTGCAATTTCTACCCCCACTTCCCCCCATAGAATTGCTTATTTGAACTATTTTCTACATTTTAGTATAATTATGCAGAATTATCAAAACTTTAAAATAACATACAGCTCAGGTAAAAAAAAAATCTGCATTTTAAAATCCTGATTTAATCCTGGTTCTGCTGGCACAAGGCCACACTGAGGCAGGCTAGAAGTTTCTAAGCAGGAGACACTGGCAATGACCAGAAACCAGCCAGGTAGAGGGCAGAAGCAACTTTCTAATGCCAGAGGTGACCGTCGGCTTATCTGACAGTTTCTCATGAATTGGAGGGTGACATCAAGAGACCTTCAAAAACAATACGAAACGTTAAGTGCAGGTGTGAAGTTCACTGCTAAGACAATTCAAAACAGGCGCATAGAACAGGGACTGAAGTCCCATGAAGCAAGGGAGAAGACATTCATTCATCAGTAAGAAGTAGGGAAGAGCCAGACTGGAATTAGCAAAACATTAATTAATTATGCAGATGCACACCCATAAATTGAGAAATGAGTGAAATTGAAAATCTTGCTGTGGTCTCAGTTTTTCCCAGAGCTGTATTAGGGTTTAAGCACTGGGACGGGGTTGCAGGTTCAAATCCCTGGGTCAGCAGAGTGATGCCACCATGGGGCGGTTCAGCAAGGCCCTAAACCCCAATTGCTCCATGGACTGGCTGATCCTACTTTCTGCTCCACACCAGTTCCATGAGGTGGCCTCCTGAGATGCTTTTCCATCTGTCCCGAAGGAGGTCCGATGTACGCTGATCACTCATCAGCCGCTTCATCCTCACTATCTGGTCAAACTCCTCCAAAACCATGTCTTCTGCGTTTAGGTCAGGTGGCCAGGTCACTGTCCCTTGTAGGCTGCTCGGCGTATCCAAACTTCTGACTGGTGCTGTATGTTTTGAGTTTTAACACACAAAACCATATGAATTCCCTGGAATAAAGCCATTACCACACAAATAGGCTGCCCGAGGAACCTAAGGATCGACTTAAGCAGAATAAAAAGCATAATCAGTCCTCAAATCAGTGCAGTAACTGACACTTTCAGCAACACCCCCTGCCCCCAGTGGTCCAGAGAACATATAGAGGGACACAGCGACAAATTCAAGAGGCACACAGGGCTGTCGGTGGAACAAGAGTCCCCTCTGCTGGCCGTATTAAGTACTGCAACTGGCAGGATAAAGCAGACAGACCAAACTGTGGGTGGAATCAATTTAATGGAATGTCTGCATGAATATCTACATTTACTTCAGACTCCTGCACACAGCATACTATTCCCGTGATATCAAAAAACAACACGTAACTATTAAAAAAAAAAAAAAAAAAAAGCAGCACAAGTGAGCAGGAAGGGCCAGAGAGGCCTCACTGCGCCTTGCAGTTGTCGTCCTGCCTGGGTGACGGAGGCTGTATTGTACCACTCCAGTGCTCCAGTGAAGGACTGACATCTGAAGGAAACAGGGACACATTTATGAGCATTTCGGGATTAAGAGGTCACTTCACATTCCCCCCGCCAAAGCTGCAGCAGCTCCCATAATGCATTGCAGCAGTTAATTTACATCCAGATGCCTCTTTTCCAGGCTTTGTAAAGTGGCATTAAACACATCGATGGGTATGCCCCCCCTCCCCCCCCATACCGGAAATTGCCCCCAGGGTGGAGTTGTCGAAGAACTGCCGAGGGCAACCGAGGTGCACCCCATCGGAATGGGTGTCGAAGAACTTGCTCTTTGGAGAATCGAAGAGCCGGCCATCTGAAGACGTGACCAGCCGGCGCCCCCTTGTGGGAGTGTGGGGCGACTGCAGCTGCTGGGGGTGCGTATCTCTCCGGTTCTCCTTCAGTTGCGTGGCTCTGCGCCTCCACTTCACAGCCTCCTGATGACTGGTCACTTTACTGTCCCCCCCCACCACCACAGATACAGACATTAATGACAAGCTAGATCCCCACTCAATGGTAATTTCAGCTTCAAGAATATCTCTGGTCACAGAAGACACGTCCGTTCAGATAAAAGTACATTTAGACAGGTGGTATTTTTGTAATAATGCAGGTGGGGAGTGAATAGGTTCTAGAGGCTGGCTCTGTTTTTCGTCCCTTTCTGTAGCTGAATAGTCATAAGCTTCAGAAATGATCAGAACAGACACAAAACTCTTACATCTTCCCGAAAAGGAGGCGATCAAAATGATCAGCGACATTTAACTTTTCAGGAATTTAAACAGACCAATTCAGTACCACCCTGTGCCACATCTGCATCACTGCAGTGCTTCTCTCTCACCAGACCTGAGGCTACAGCTGTCTACAAGCACTTACATGTAATTCAAGCAATGGCCTATAATATACAACATCCTGGTAGGTAGGTAGATGACCCAGAAGCTGAATTTACCTCTCAGGATGAGCATTCTTCAACTGTCTCATGGCCTCTTTACCCATTAGAGGGCTCTGGAAAGTGCAGCCCCTTATGGCATCCAACATGTTGCATGACATTCCTGAATCAATCACAACTACATGGGATGAGAGGATAAATGTGGGAACAAAGTACACAGAATGCAATAGATCAGGCTTTATTGCCATTGGCTGGGACAGGAGAAGGCTTCTCCCCCATTGGTGTTTTAGCTGATGCCTTACCTGATTGGTCACAATGCACTGGTGTTCTGCAGGTCCCCTTGACTTTCTGTAAAGGCTCTTCTATAGGTTCCACACTTGGGGAGGCACAACATAAGAGCCATTTAGGACAGATTCCTGACCTGGAAGCTATCAGGGCAGCCCACAGCTACTGTGCCCTTGACCCAGCTGAGATAGTCAGCCCACATCTTACATGGCTTTGATAGATCAGAACTTCAAAATGGTGAGCAAAATGCACAAGCGTGGATTGAGCGCGGAGCGTGTCAGCACACCGTCTGTTCATACATCCACTGGCCAGCATCCTAACTCATTTGTCTAGCACTGGTTGATGGCAGAGCTGAACTGGCCATGTGTGAGCTGTACTATAGCATTCGCCATGTGTTAGAAGTTTGTGTTAAAAGTACCATACTGTACTGTGAATGCACAATTTTTGGATAAACAAATATACTGAATGTATCTACAATGCAATTCCAAATCCAGGCCGTGTTTTCAGTTCCCCCAGGTAGTTGTTTAATTATTACTGATTCTGATTGGTCAGAGGCTTCACACCTGACTGACAGGTAAAGGAAGGCTGGAAAACCAGCAGTGCTCGGACCTCGAGGACCGTGAGTTGAATAACCCTGATTTAAAGTATACGACAGGCTGGGAATAGGTGTACATGCAAAGTGCACTTTTATACAAGGGTCATGAACATACGCGATTTTGGAGTATCGCTGTGGGTTGCGGAAGTAATGACTCGCTCAAATTAAACATTACAGCACTTATGTATTCTAGTTGTTGAAACTGATTCAAAACATATCGGTATCAAAAAAGGAACAGAGCACTTACTCCTCTCGGTTCCGGGCAGACAGCACCACCCCCTTCGGGTCGTCCCTGAATTCCGTGTCCTTTCTCTGTAGCTCCATCCTGCTGTTAAACTAAGGAAAACCAAAAATGCCTAAATACCCCGAATACAGGTGTACAGAAGCAGGGTTTCTCTCTGAGTTCGTTGGCCTGCCATAATTAGCCATTTAATATCCCACATACAAAACCTGAACTAACAACTACCCAATCTAAAGCCTCTTCCTATACCACATGACCTACCTGGAAAGGGATCAGTCCCCCAANCCTGCCATAATTAGCCATTTAATATCCCACATACAAAACCTGAACTAACAACTACCCAATCTAAAGCCTCTTCCTATACCACATGACCTACCTGGCAAGGGATCAGTCCCCCAATCAGAAACAGGCATACCTGATATTCCTTGAGTCTGTGCCGCAGGGTCTGTATGGCGTCGTCCCGCTCGCTCAGTTGGGCGTAAACGTCCTGCAGCTCTGTCTGCAGGAGCTGCGTGGCCTCCTTGTGGATGGAGACGCTGTGTTCCGCTTTGGCCAGGGCCTCCTCTAGCCCTGTTATCCTCGTCTCCTGCTCGAAGGAGGGGAGAGGGGTTAACCCTCATATGGAGACGCAGGACTGCTCCCTGTGGAGACTGACTGGCTCATTAAAGCAGCATCTCTGAGCCCCCCCCCCCCAGCCGGTCTGCAGTTTTGCTCCTGCCAAACTGCCTGACATTGTGTCCACATATTTGCTCCCTCCAAGCTCCCGGGCAAAGATGTGAACTGTCTGGGGGGGGAGGGGGGATGGTTCCGAGGACCAGGTTGAGAAAGAGTCCATCATTTAACAAACAAGGACAAATCTCCAACAGAACCTGGGGGGGGGGGAGATCCAAAGGCCTTCCACATACACAGCTCCACCTGGGCTGCAGGCTTTGGAAGATCAACACTCAGCCCTGCCCCCCCCCCACCCCCACCTCCGTAAATAAGATAGAAATGAGTGAAAAGCAACACCAAAGCCAAGGGAGATCAGCCCCACAGCCCCGAGCGGCTGAAAATTCCGAGAGGATTCTGGAAAGAACAGGGATGCACGAGCGGAGACGGTCCACAGGCAAACTAAACAGCAGTAATACCTGAGGCTGCCACTGCGATGCCTCCTGCCCACACAACTGCCGCCAGAGTGACCCGTCAGCATCACTCTTCCTCAGCTCCTCTTCCTCGCCACTGTGATCCAACTAAGGGAAGGAATGTTAAATGAACCACCATGAAACTCCAGGGGTTCCTGGCACAGAGGGTGAGCTACACGATTCCCATGTACGGCCTGCTTGCGATGCCACACACCCACTGCACGGCGTCCCTCAGGTCTTCTCTCTTCTTCCTCACCTCCTCCAGCTCCTCAGCCACCTGCTGTGTCTAAGGGTGCAGGTGACACAATCAGCCTCTAGGTGGCACAGTGATGTAAGGAATTGAACTTAAATGGTTGATCAACACCCCCCCCACCATTTCAGACACCCAAACTGAACTGCTTTACTGCAATATCCTTGTGTATAAATAAAGATCCTCTGGGATTTCCCTAATCCCCAAATCCCTAATCCCACCATGAAGGACATCCAACTCACTCGTCCCTGAAGTTCATCCTGCTTCTTTTTCCAAACTGGTCCCTGCTGGTCCAGCACTCGCTGCGCTTGCGTGACCTGGAGACACACACCCAGCAGACCCTTTAGAAAAAGCCCAGACTGTGGCCAACCCCCCCCCCTCCAATCTGCTCTAATACAGCAGACAAAAATTTAGAACTCAGAATCAGGGAACTTTGGGTGCTTTCCCACTGCACTGGGTGCCACACTTTTGGTGCGGTTTCCTTCCCTACTTTCCCCTTTTCTGTTGACTTCCAGCTGAGTACCGGTACCTAAAGTGCCAAACCTACTGGGGGACTTTTTCGGTATTTTGGTACGTTGTGGTAGGATTGCAATGCTTTGTCGATTGGTTATGCAAATAGCCTGACTTACAAAGTTACAAACACAACGGTAAAATAAAAATTACTTGCGATCTGGTGGGAAGAACAGATACAAGACAGACTGGACCGACTGAAACCCGCTGTTTTCAGGGTCCAGTCACCGACTGGCTTAACCTGCTTCTCACTGGTCATGTTATTAGTTTCTTCAAGAGCAAATTAGGCAGCAACAGGCCACCCAGAGCACCTTTGAAAGCCTTTTCATGTTTACCCAGGACCCCGTGTTCCTGCAGACCCCTCATGAGCTGTCTCCCCCTTCCTTAGGCCCTCCAGCACCAACACTAACCTCTACTTATTTAACTTACTTCTGTACAAATACTTCACCTGCTCATTTTCTTCATCAAGCTCTTCACTCCTCCTTGATGGGACATTGTGGCCACCCAGTTTGTTCTTCCAGCTCATCTGCTCAACCTAAGAAAACCCAAGAGATATTTTAAGGGCCGTAACATAGATGGCGTGTCTGAATAACAATGCTGAATGAACAGAGCAGAAGCACCAGAGCAGCCCTAATCTCTAAACAGAACTTAAACAACAAGCAAGCAAGAACAAATGAGGTTCAGAGACTATAGCTCTGGGTTTCCCCAGTTCTATTAATCTGGCCTGGAGGGCTCTCTCCCTTACCTGGGACAGCTCCAGTTCGGCTACTCTGGCCTGCAGGGCCTTCTCCCTCTCCTGGGACAGCTCCAACGCAGACCTCAAGCCAACTTCAACGTCTGAGGGGAAAAATTTCAGCTACTTAGAGACATGACTGAAGAGACACCAGCAGTGAAGCAGTAGATATTTACAAAAAAAACTCTAAAGCAGTTTTTTATTATTATTATTATTATTATTATTATTATTATTATTATTATTATAATAATAATAATAATAATAATAATAAATAATAATATCTGCTGCTACCCCCCAAGCCCCTCCTGAGGGCCAGTCAGGCACACCCTGCTGCTGTCGTACCCACCTTTGGAACACGTCGCAGCCTGCACAGCCGTCAGCCTGTCATTCTCCTGAAAGGTCCGCTGTAGCTCCTTCAGCAGATCGGCCTCCATCTCCTTAAAGCGCTTCCTCTCCGCCTCCAGCCGCCCATGAAGACTCCGCAGCTCCTCCTCCATCTTCCCGTGGGCTTCGGCCATCGCAGACTGGTAGGATGCGCAGAGAGCGAGACATTAAACCCACACGCACGCCACCGAACATGCCAAGGCCCCCCCCCCCGCCCTGCCACACACCTCACTCTCCCGCAGAGCCTGTGTCTCCGAGCGCAGCATGGCCCACTCCTTCCGGGTGTCGCGGCTCAGCGTCTCCGCGTCCTGCAGGGAGCGCTTCAGCTGTCTGATCTCCTGGGCCGAGTCCTTATGGCGCTGTGGAGCGGAGAGGAAGCAGTCAGCGCACAGGCGGGACAGCGGGCGACTCCGGAGAGGGACGACCACAGCCACCTTAAGAAGCACCTCATGCACCATCAGAGCTCAAGTTACACAACTGATAAAACCATAATATTCATCCATTGGTCCACGTTCCACATTGCTTATCAAGCAAAGGATTGTGGGAAACCAGAAGCCCGTGCCAGGAAGGACATGGCATGAGGCAGGGGACATGCTGGACTGGCATTGCATGCAGAGCAGGGCACCCACACAGTATCTCACACCATGACCAACTTTAGATATGCCAGTGGACCCAAACACAAGCGTTAGGACTGTGGCAGAAAACCTACCTGAAGGAAACCTAAATAAACATGGCAAGAACAAATAAAGCCCACAGAGAGGATCCCACCAAGATCACAAAAAAAGAAGACTGACAAGGGCCTGCAGCTCTGTTATACAGTCCTCCTTCCTCTTCAGCTCTGCTACCATGGCTGCCAGATCCATCTGAAGAAAAAAAGAAAGGAAACAACCATCAGTGAGGCGACCGTCACGGACAACATCCCAGGCGGATTAAACAAAGCACATTTACTGGGGTGGAGGAATGACCTGACAAACAACACGAAACAAACAGACACAAGCTACACATCTGAAAGCCTTGTTTGTTTCCCAAACACAAACAGGAGTCTGTAGACTCGCCTCCAGGTTCTGGATATGTGCCCCCGATGCATCCGCGACCTTCTTCAGAGAGGAGATTTCTTCGACCAGCTCTTTCTGAAGGCCGAACAAACAGCGAACATTCCATTGACTTGACAAGTCACCCATAAACCTCAACACTGCGGCCAAATCAACTAGCAGCCACTCCGATAATCCTTAACGGAGGATATATGAAATATACGTACACGTCACCGACATGGGAGTCTACCTAGGAGTCAGGTTTCGACAGACGTGACGGGATTCCTGCACACGCTAGGAACTATTTTTTCCGGCGAAGCTACTTCTCTCCCTCCAATAGTCACATCAGAAAACAGCCGCAAAGATGATCATTTCAGAGTTGAAACATTTGGTCAACAGGGAAAGCAGTGAACTGAAGCTTTCATACACTAATGGCTACACAGCTCCCACCCCCCCCCAGTGGGCAGTTAGTAAGTGTAGAGTACCTCACACTGCCTGGTGCTCTCCTGCTCCAGGGCCCTGAACTCCTCCATCTCCCGCCTCTCCTCGATATCCTTCAGGAAGTACTCCTTCTCCTGCTTCAGGGTCTGATTCTCCTCCTGCAGCGCACGGAGCTCCCTGGAGATGAAGTCGCACTCAGCAACCACCGCCGCCTGTTAGAGGGCGTGACCCGAGGCAATAACGAGGGAGGGGGGTTAGGAGCCGCCGAAGGGGACCCATGATCAACATGCGGAACGCGCGGCACGAAGAGGACCACCAACCTTCTCAGACATCAGAACTTCACAAAGCTGAATGGTCTCCTTCAGATCCCTCTTGCACTACGAGTTTCAAAATATTTCATAAATAGTGCATTCTATACAAAGTAATAGCCAAACATACATGCTCAGCTGTCAATTAAATATTTGTATGATATACGATGATATCAAACAATATACTTCATTTACTGTTCGCACAAGAATGAGTACAGGTACACTGGAATGAATACAATTTGCAGGGTCAGGCCATATACCCAGCACCCCAGGAACATTCTGGGGGGGGGGGGTTAAGGGCCTCACTGAAGGGCCCAACGGAGATGTGACTATTATGAGTAAGACCTCACTGTGTGTGTTGATGATTCCATGTCCCACTCTCGCCAGCGTGGGGAAGCAATAAAAACGGTCAATAGGATGTTGGGTTACATCTCTAGGTGTGTGGAGTTTAAGTCAAGGGAGGTGATGCTACGGTTTTACAATTCCTCGGTAAGACCCCACCTAGAATATTATGTGCAGGTTTGGTCACCATACCTTAAAAAGGACATTGCTGCCTTGGAAAGGGTTCAATGTAGGGCTACAAGAATGATTCCTGGTCTTAGAGAAATGTCTTATGAGGAGAGGTCAGCTGAGCTGAATCTGTTTAGCCTTGAGCAAAGGAGACTAATGGGGGACATGATCCAGGTATATAAGATTCTAACAGGTCTGGATGCTGTTCAGCCAAATGGCTACTTCAATATTACTTTAAAATACTAGAACTTGTGGCCATAAGTGGAAAATAGCATAACATTTTAAAATGAATTTGAGGAAGCACTTTACACAGCGTGTAGTTATAGTATGGAATAGTCTTCCTGCTAGTGTAGCGCAAGCTAAAACCCTGGGTTCCTTTAAATCAGAGCTAGATAGGATTTTAACAACTCTGAGCTTTTAGTTCAGTTCTCCCCAAATGGCCTCCTCTTGTTTGTAAATATCTTATGTTCTAATGCCAAGGATGGGACTCAAACCAGCAACTTTATCATCACAAACACAAAGGCTAACCCACTGAGCCACACACTGCCTCTCATTTCTTAATTCTAATATGGGACAAGGGATGTATTGTAGCAGCAAATGTTCTATATTCCTCCCCCATGACACCCATATTAAATTTTTCGGGAATTCTCCCCTCAGGATCACTACAACCAGAGATCAGCTCTTCGGGTTGTTAAACGCACTAATCAAACCCACATCTCGGGTTGGCATTCTGTAGTCAGACTACCTCTTCCTGGAGCTCCTGGTCTGCAGTCTGTCCTTTGGCCTCCAGCCTCTTCTCTGGCTCAGCCTCCCTCTTCCCAGGGGTCTCCACATGCAGCTGCAGGCCCAGCCCAGCCTCCCCTGTCAATGACTCATGGCTGCGGCGGCGAAACAAACAGCAGCTCGAGGAAACTGAAACATGGCTGCAGTGAGGCAGGCGAGGGAGAGGCAGGCGAGGGAGAGGCAGGCGAGGGAGAGGCAGGCGAGGGAGAGGCAGGCTCACCTGAGGAGGAGGCCATCCAGAGTCCCATCGGTGCTGATCAACGTGTCACCCAAGACCTCGTCCAGGATGTCACTGTGGCATCCAGTGCTCTCACCCTCTGTTTGGACAAAAACCACCACTGACTTGCAACCCAAAACAGGAATATAAATAAAATATCACAAAGGTTCGATTCTATTAAAACAGCCATTTCAAGCTAACATACTTGCTTGTCAGAATTACAGAACATAATGCTGTTTTACTAGGTCAATTGTACTGAGGTACATTCAAAAGGTACAAGCGAAGTTACCCTCCAAGGATTTTAAAGTCCACCCAATCGTCATCTTCAGAATCGAATTACGTACAAGCACCAAAACACCAACATTAATAACAAATGGAATCTCTCTCTCAAAGCTGATTCAGCAGCAGCTGACAACTCACCCATACTAAAGTTCTTGGTGTTATAGCCATCGTCCACATGATCGACACTTTGCGCGTTTTTCATGCGCAAAGAGCCACCTTCAGCAACATCTTCCCTGCATGATACATAAAGTAAAAGCTGGAAAATGGCATTCACTCATATTCTTACAGTAACAACTATGATGTCTACACAAAGGTCACAGAAAATTAGGTTCTTTACAGTGGATATTCCTAATCACCGTAACAGAAACAGAATATGTGCAGGCATAACAGGTTGGCAGACCAGTTCAAGAGGAATATTATGTGCTGGTTACTGTAATTAAGGTAGAAATATGAGCTGTAAAACAGATAATGAGCATCATTCATAAAATATCAGTCTTTCTGGATTAGGACTAATTGAATTATGCTTTTCACTACAGGGTACAAGAACAATTGTACACACCGTAAATCTCAATAAATTGGGAAATTTCATTTGTCGGCACTGGACTTGAAAATGACCCAGTGCACCAAACAAGTCTGAAGTTAGCTTCTTATTTGCAGCTCGTTATTCGGATTTTCCAGTCTACCTTAAATGCTGGGCATATTTCCGGGCCTGATTGGGAGTGGAAAGACGTTTGCGTTTGTCTCATTTTCTGTTAAAATACACACAATCTATTACTGAAACTGCAAAGATATGTACATTCCTCAAAGTGGTAACAAGTCAGTAGAATTGTGTTCAATTAATACGAATCGAAAGCCTAATGAAGTTCTGAAGGTAAGCCTCGCTAAATGAGCCCCCCTACAGGCGCAATCGCGTCATTGAATTGGGCTGCGCAGCATTTAAGGGCGCTTTTCCACCGCACCAGGTACCGTACTTTAGGTACTTCCATAAAGTACCATAAGTATGGTACTTCTTTTGTGTCGGTTTTCCACTGGTGTATTGCATAACCAATCGACAGCAAATACGTTTGCAAGTCCAACCCTGAAGTACCTAAGTACCAAAGCTGGTTTGGCACTTTCGGTACTGGTACTCGACCGGAAATCAATAGAAAAGCAAAAGTACCTTAAGTACCGTACTTTGTGCGGTGGAAAAGCGCCCTAAGGTGAAGAGGGTGTTGTTCCGAATAAGGAGCTGAGAAAAAGGAGCCAACTTCAGCCTCGTGTGCAACGAGGCTGCACCAAACGACCCTATGATATATGTGCTATTCGCTGTCTTCTGAACATTGTCGGGTATTATTACCCTTAAGACTTAGCGTATCTGGGTACGACTGTAGCTTCTCTCTTTACAACCGACTGGCACAGCGCCTCGACTGCATCAGCGACACCCCTCAATACTCCAACATATTACAAAACAGCTACTTTCCCGCTCCAGTTTCCGCAAAATTGATCACCATGTTGAGTATTTCTACATTATTCACTATATACCATACTCGTATTCTAACTCTAAGATCGATAACCTAGCTATGTAGTCAGATAACCAGCCGTGTTGGTTTTTAAGAGAAAGGACAATCTCACCTCTGTACCGATGTTCCAACATGAAGATCAAACCGAAATGTTGATTCATCTGTCATATTCGGCGATGTAATTCACCAGAAGCACTTTATTTCGTATACAGTGCAAAGACTGTTTGCTAATGAACTAGCAGGCTAACATAACTTCTGCTCAGTGTTTAAATTTTGGTACTTTACGTTCATTGGATAGCGTCACTGAGTGGGCTGTACCAAGTAAAGAGGAACGCCACACATTAGTAAATTGTGTAGGAATATAATACAGCTTTTATCAAAATAAGATTGTAAACATTTACATGATGTTGGAGATATATATGCACTTTTTCCAATAATTATAAAAAGTTTTCTTATACGATTGCGTTTTCTTTTCTTCACTGTCAGTGTCATAAACGCGAGACGCCTTTACGTCATCACTCGGTGCCAGTTTTCAACACATGGAATTCAGCGTGTTTATAGTACCTGGCTTGTATGTCTAATTAGGTCCTGTAGTCAGTTATGGACGCTTTTACTAAACGTGTACAAAATCCAAACGGCACGTCACATTTTAATGTAAAATAATTGAAAGTCAGAAATATTTCAAGAGGTTTTAATATGCGTCTGGGTTCTCTGTTTTCTGAAAACACTATCTCTTGTCAACCGGGTATTTGATTTAATCCCACTAGAAAATTTTGGACGATGTCACTTTTCCTGATAAATAGGTATGTATGCAAAGTTTTCTTTTTGGGGATATAGTGTTGTGTAATCATTTACGGTTCAATGGGTTGTCATGTGGGAAAAAATCTTTTTATATCTGCAATAGTTTACCAGCTGTCTGTTTGATAATGTACAGAGTAATTGCGTTATACAAAAAATCGTATGTATGTCTGTTCATTTACAGTTAGTACAATGTTCTGCTTGGTTTTCAGGTATCTGGGAGATGAAGATGACAATATTCAATCTACAAGTGAGTCTCGATCTAAAGCCCTGCTGACAAAACTTCAGGAGCAGGCCAGAGTAAGACAGCAACTACAGGCTTCAGCTAAACAGGAAGAATTGGAAACTACTGGTGACCCACCAGGAACAAGACCAAAAAGACACCGAGATGAGGAAGCAGCAACTAATGAAAGAGAACCAAAAAAGAAGAGGAAGAGAAAGGCAGACCAGTCACTTGGGGATGAAAGTTTGAGTGTAGAGACCACCAAAGTAGAGGACAGCCTGCCAAGCAAGAAGAAGAAGAAGAAGAAAGAAAAACCAGGTGAGTATGACCTTACGTGACGCAGTAGCTGCTAGTGTAATGGTTAAAAATATAGGCTAAGCTGAAGGTTATCAGTATAGGTTTTGCTCTTATTATAACTCCGTCTGATACTTGATAGATTTGGATGTGCAAATCGGAATAACTGTGGATGTACATTTTGGTTAATAATAGTAACAGTAATAAAAGATCACTGTAGTGATGCATGTTTTCCAGTATTGTAGAGAATTTCCAAAAGTATGCATATCTATTCACAAATTTGCAAGGCGTTTAGACACACTGTCGATGTTACAGAGGAGAAGATAAAGGAGAGTTTGGTGAAGAAGAAACAAAAACAGAAAGCTAGCACACCTGAGACCACAGAGGAGTTAGTGGATGAGGAAGAGGAGGAGAAAGATGATGAAGACGGCATCAAAGGGACAGAAGAACATCCTGAGCAGCTCAGCAGTTCAGACCAGAAGATGTCTGATTCAGGTTTTACCATCTTGGGCGGATTTGAGAGCAAACCAGTACAGAAGGTATCCATGCATCTCCATTCAGGTAAAGCTTTAATCACTGTCCGGTTCTGAAGAGCTTAGCTCTGTTTATCATCCACATCCAGGTTCAAATGGTTCTGCCCCAGTGGCTTGCTAAGCCAGATATGGTCCAAAGAGACATCAGCCAGAACCTGGTCCCAATCAGTGAGGTGCAAGGAATATGCCCCCATCTGCTGAAGAAGCTAGACAGCAATGGGATACAGCATTTTTTCCCAGGTGAGAAAACAACATGTCTGAAGGCCATTGCCATCTTGACTGTCTTGAGCTCCAGATTATTGTGGCTGCATTAGGTCAGTAGATGGTGAATATTCCTCCTGTAGATGGATTCATCCCCACTAGAGGTGAGTCCAGTGAGGCTGGTGTCATCCGCAAACTTCAGTAGCTTGACATGGCTGGAGGTGTAGCTGTTAGTGTGCAGAGAGAACAGCAGGGGTGACAGGACGCAGCCTTGAGGGGAACCGGTGCTTATGGTCTGGTGGTCAGAGATGTCCTTCCCCAGCTTAACTTTCTGCTTCCTGTTGGACAGGAAGTTGGTGAACCATCTGCAGGTGGAGTTTGGCAAACCCTGCTAGGGGAGCTTGACCAGGGGTAGAGGTGGAACGATCGTATTAATGCAGAACTGAAGTCCGCAAAACGGATTCTGGCGTAGAATCCAGGAGAATCTAAGTGTTGGAGGACGAACTGAAGAGCCATGTTGACAGAGTCGTCTGCGGACCTATTGTCTCTGTAGACAAACTGCATTGTGTCCAAGAGAGAGTCGGTGATGGATCTGATATGAAACAGTACAAGACACTCCAACGACTGCATTACTACTTAGGTCATGGCGACGGGTCTGAAGTTGTTAAGTCCTATGATGCTGGGCTTTGTGGGTATGGGAACGATGGTGGAGGTTTTGAAGCAGTCTGGCACATGGCAAGTCTCCAGGGAGGTGTTGGAGAGATCTGTGAGCACCGGAGAGTGTTGTTCAGCACAATGCTTCAGTGTGGCAGGGGAGACAGAGTCATTGAATTGGGCTAAAGCATCTTGTTAACGTCCCATTCAGAAAGAATGGTGGTAGAGGGAGGGGGGTCATTTAGAGTGGTTGGAAGTGTCCTGTTTGGTGTCCCTCAATGCCTTGCACGCATCCTTGTACACATCCCGGTCCCTGCCCCTAAAAGCCTTTTCCTTCTCCAAACGTAACCGTTTGACTTTAGCTGTGAACCAGGGTTTGTCATTATTATAGCTCACTCTGGTGTCTGTTGGAAATACAGCAGACTTCACAAAAGCTGGTGTAAGACGTCACAGCATCACTGTACTCATCCAGGCTATCATTCGCAGTCCTGAAAATGTTCCAGTCCTGAGTTGGAAGCCAGGCAGCTGCAGTGCCGAGTCCAGTATGGTACCACATAGCCATGATTGCGTAAAGCGCAATATTCAGGACATGGGGAAGTCTCTGTTTTTCTTCATCATTAGTTGTGATCTGTCCATTTTATTACTCATTGAACGCACGTTGGAGAGGAATATTCCCGGTAGCAGTGTTCGTAAACCGCGCCTTCGGAGACGGGCCAGCATGCCGGCGTGGCTTCCTCTTCGCTTGTGTTTCACTGCACGCCCAAGGGCAAGAGCACAGATGAAGTGAGAAATATAGAAAGCAAATCCACTGGCAACATTTCTCTGATGTTCATGATCTCTTCTCTAGTGAAAATGACATTGTTTCCACAACACACTGAATTAACAAACAAAACAAGACAGCCAAGTGCACACCAAAATGCTGAGTTCTACGTTTGAAATGCTATCGTTTTCTGATCCATGTGAAAAATCAGTTGCTATTTTGAGAGTAATCAAAGAGCGGTCCCTTGACGTGAGTACTTGGCATTGTGGGTAAAACACAGAGGTGGGGAAACCTTAGTCTGTTTCTTTCTCAATGTCCACAGTGCAAACAGAGGTGATCCCCGCCGTCCTCGAGGGCGTCAGCAACGGCCTGCTGGTGGGCCGGGGTGGGTACAGGCCAAGAGACATCTGTGTGTCTGCCCCAACCGGGAGCGGGAAGACGCTGGCCTTCGTGGTCCCAGTTGTCCAGGTAGAGTTGAATGCCCCGGGTTGTTCTCAGTGCAGAGGCTGGAGGTCGCACATATATTGACCTTTGACCCTGTGCCCCATCTCCTCAGGCTCTCCTGAAGCGGGTGTTGTGTGAAGTGCGGGTGCTGGTGGTGCTGCCCACCAAGGAGCTGGCACAGCAGGTGCTGAGCATCTCTCCAGGGCTGGGGACCTCACAGCCCCCTCAGATGCCCCACATTAAATTCACGGGGGCACCGTGTGGCCGTCGTTTTCCGGCTAGGTTTTCTCTTGGATAACACTCGTTCTTGCTTCTGGGCAGGTCGGTAAGGTGTTCCACTCCTACGTGGAAGGCACCAGCCTGAAAGTGGTCATGCTCATCGGCCAGAAGTCTCTAGCTGCAGAACAGGCTTCCCTCCTGGAACAAAGGTAAGTCGCGAGAAGTGCGTTCCTAGGACGTGACTGGCAGGAGGCCCCAACAGTGATGGACATGTACTGGATATATGGTAGAGCTTAGGCAGATTAACGGTACTACCATAAAATATAAACAAGGATTCATATCTTGCTGGATGTTTAGAACAAAGCTTTGGTTCCCAGACCTCTTCTCAGTGGCCCCTCAGCCAATCCATGTATTATTCGTAAAATTTCACCACCAGCTCAATATTTAGAAGGACAGTAGTGGCTCGATGGTTAGGGAAGCACACTTGTAACTGAAAGATTGTAGGTTTGAATCCCCGACCAGCAATGCACTGCTGAGGTACCCTGAGCAAGGTACCGTCCCCAAGCACTGCTCCCCAGGCGCTGAATTAGCTGCCCCCTGCTATGTCACGATGTCACATATGAGTTAAATGCAGAGGACACATTTCATTGTTGTGCACTGTGTGCTGTGGTGTGTCGACAATGACCACTGATCACTTAATTGGATTGGATTGGATCCATGGATTGGATACCATGTGGGGATGTAGCTGGGGGGAGGGAATAAGGGTTGACGTAAGGTTAAGTGGGCTAAGGAGCCCCTTAGCAGATCACCCCCGAAGATTTAAGGGGGTGAAGGGGGGACTTCCCATCTCATTTACTGGATCCATTTATTTTTCATTAAAACCTTTTGCTGTCCAACTGTATATTGTATGTATTCATTCCCCCTCCATAACGTTGCCCTGCACCATACTCCAATTATTTTGGGTATTAATACACACTTTTTTTTTTTACTTTGCACAGTACTGTATAGTATTGGAAACATCAGAGAGAAACATTGCAGTACATCTCTGTCTGGTCTCTTTACCACAGTGGTTCCAGGTATCGGAGCTTGGCGGACATCGTTGTGGCAACCCCTGGACGACTGGTCGACCACATCAACATGACCTCAGGCTTCAGTCTGCAACACCTTCGCTTCCTTGTGAGTGCAGTTGAGCACCATTGTCTCTAAGAGCCCCGCAGAGGTTGATGTCACGTTCCTCCCTCCCTGCCCTTGGACGTGAGGTCTAAGGTCGTCCCTTCTGTGCCGCCGTAGGTGATCGACGAGGCAGACCGGATGATCGACAGCATGCACCAGTCCTGGCTGAGTCAGGTGACGAAGGCCGTGTACAGCAGGTCGGATGGTTCCTCGGTCTTTGGGAGGAAAGAACCCGGACCGATCACGGCATTAAGGTGAGAGTGCAGTGCAGGTTGCACAAGGGTATGAAATTCAGTTCAAATTTTATTTTTATATAGCGCCTTTCACAACAGAGTCACCCAAGGCACTTTGCATGGGTGTGTTGTGATACATTCCTGTATCATTTACACAAAAAATTCAAAAACCGAGAAAAAGGAAGACAAAAAAATGTCTGGCAAGTACGGAGACCCTAGGGGGTCCAAGGTCCCCCCGCCCAACATTATAGGAACAGAAAGAGTGGGCTTGCTTGCTAAAAGCAAGATGCAAACTGTGGTCAAGGGCAAAGCCAAAGTCCGTCAGTGAGTCAGGTCTCCACGCCAGCCTGTGTAGGTTGTCAGATTGAAGGCTGCACCCAGAACATTACAGTTCATAGGTCACATCCACCATGTCAGCCTTCCACGGGACGGAACCAGGACTCCAGCTCAGATGGATCTTCAGAAGCTGCAGTGGTGCAGTATCACCAGCTTGATAACTCTGCCCCTGGATGGGGGAACTTTCTACCCCAGTAAACACTGCAATAAAATATTCAGCAAGTGAATTCATTAGCATGAATACGCCAGTTGCTGCCTGCTACCATTTTCCAATTTAGGTGCCGGTATTATACAGTATATGTGACAAAAATTAACTGTAACTATGATGTATAACACTTTGTGTGTAGGAGTCAGGGGAATTTAATGCGTGGGATTTCTCTCCTCCTCCCATGTGCTGTGATGCCCCCCCCTGCGTCGCCCCTCCGCAGCATGTTACAGCCCCAGACGCCCCTGCAGAAGCTGCTCTTCTCCGCAACGCTCACCCAGAATCCGGAGAAGCTGCAGCAGCTGGGCCTGTACCGGCCACGCCTCTTCAGCTCCGCCCACAGGGGGCCGGCCTCTGATAATGACTCCGCCCAGCCCGAGGAGAAGTTTATCTTTCCTCCAGGCCTGACGGTGCGTGTCTGTGCGGGGCCCCCTGCTGGCTGCTCTGTGCCTCTGACAGGGCCGTGTCTAGGTTATATTTCATTCTACATTTGCTCTTTAGTGTTAAACTTAATTAAATTTAATTTTCTTGTTTAGTAGTTGCTCTTCTCTGTAGTGGTTCAGTGAGTTGCTGACCTCCATGGTTGGGGGTTCAGTTCCCCCCCTGTGGTGAGCAGTTTGCATGTTCTTCTTGGGGTTTTTTCTCCAGTTGCTATCCACTGTACAAGAATGCTTGAGAGAACTGGCATTGCCCTGCCTGTCGCCCTGCCTTTGTGAGAACAGGCTGTGGCCTCGCTGTGACCCTCTAATACACTGTTTACCAGCCTAATCACTGGGGGACCCCCAGACAGATTACATTTTTGCTCCCTTCCAAAACGTGGATTGTCTAGGGGTTGGGAAACAGTGTTGCAATATACTTGTGTACGTGTGATGTTTGACTGCAAGGTCCTCCTGTTTGGTATTTAAATGCTAACAGTTAACCCCCCTCCCCCACACCAGGAATTCTACGTGCCCTGTACCCTGAGCAAAAAGCCGCTCCTCATCCTCCACTTCATCCTGCACCTCAAGTTCAGCCCCGTCCTGTGCTTCACCAACTCCAGGGAGGCGGCCCACAGGTAAGCATGGGAGGACGCACCTACCCTACACTTCGGACAGCTTTGTTGAGTCCCCCGTCATTTCCGGAACCCGTCGAGACCCGCCGCTCATTGACCGTTAGCTTTCGGGGCTCTTTGTCGAGCATCCTGCTCTCACTGTTGACTTTTTGAACCAATTGTCAGTCACCGCTGCTTGTCCGTTTCTCCACTACAGGCTGTGTGTGCTGGTGCAGCTGTTCGGGGGGGTCCAGGTAGCGGAGTTCTCCTCACAGCTGAGCCCCAGCGAGAGGAAGAGAGCCCTGAAGGGGTTTGAACAGGGCAAAATCCAGCTGTAAGTGTGCACTGCTACATGTGCGTGTGTCCACTGCGCAGTATGTAAAACATATCTAAGATGTTTATTAAAAGAACGTTCTGAAGTACTTTGTTGGTTCAAAGGTTAATCAGCACGGACGCTGCAGCACGGGGCATCGACTTGGTGGGCGTGAAGTATGTGATTAATTACGACGCTCCACAGTTCATCAGGACTTACGTTCACAGGTGGGTTGTGTGGGCGTTGGGCCGGATGCTGTGCTCCCCCTAGTGGTGATTCGGGGGTGCTAGCCCAGTTCCTCTACCTTAGAACTGCTCTTAGAAGCAGGGATGCTGTAAGATCAGTCTTAATCAGTGTTTCTCAGGGACCCACACAGTCCTTGCTTTTGATCCTTCCCTGCTTCCTGCTAGATAAGTCTACATTTTTGTTAAAACGTGCAAAAACTTGGTTTGTCTAGCGGTCCCGAAAGACTGAGTTGAGAAACACTGGTCTTGATGATGACATCATCTTTTCTGCCATAGGGTGGGGAGGACTGCCAGGGCAGGCAAAGCAGGACTGGCCTTCACATTCCTGCTGGGAATCCAGGTGAGACCTGAATCCCTACGGCATGGGCCCGCTCACGTACTCTGCGGACAAGCTCCCGTTCTTCAGAGCTCACTGCGGAGCTGAATGATTCTTTGCTCTGGTTCTGTACAGGAGAAGAGGTTCCTGCAGATGTTGAGCGATGCAGGGAGCCCGGGGATTCAGAAGCAGATAATCAAGCCCGAGAACTTGAAGGCGATGGAGTCGCAGTACGAGAGGACCTTGCTAGAACTGAAGAAGGTCATCAAGGTAAGATCTGCAAGGAGAGACTCGGAGGGCATTGTGGCATATTTATTATTTATAGGAAGATGGGTTTTTTTTTTTAACTTACACTGCTCACAGAAAGTCTTGGGACGCTTGCTTAGAACAGAAAGTAACAATGTGCACTGGTTTCATAACAAAAGCTCATTGACAAGCCATATATAACATATCTGCACACATCTTCCACACAGACATTTTCTTTTTATTAAATGTCATTTTTTACCTGACTCAGTTTTGTTCTTGCCACTTTGCTATTAATTGTAGTTCTAGTTATTGCTGTTTTGTGTTTTATGTTATTGCAAAGGTGTTAAAGATTCCAATGTTGCGTGTTAATTGACTTTCTAACTATTTTAGAAACTATAATTTGGGTTTCAGTTTATTAGTACTTAAAATTAATGTTTTACTTTAAAACTTCTGGTTGTTTCTAATATGATATATGTTTGTAAACCAATGAATGAAGTAATGTTTTTTGTTATATTGAAAATAGGTTTTTTACTGAACTAAGCAAGTGTCCCAAGAATTTTTGTGAGCATTGTCGGTAACCCTTAGCATCAATGAACATGAGATGTTTCTTCTGGCGAGATTTAAAATCTGATTTCAGCTCTTTAATATTAGATTATTGGGTGCATGTTGTTTATAACGTTAATCTTTGCCTCTTGTCTTTAAACAGGATGAAAGAGCCAAGAAGAAGCAAATTTAGGACCAAGAATATTTATAATTTGCAGATAAAACCCAAGAAATATTGCCTTTGTCTTACCTCATATTTTTATTAAAAACTTAAACCCACATGTATTTTATGTCCTGAGAATGGAGTGTGCACCTGCTATCGCTGATATTAGCTATTCTGAGGCCTCCCAAGAGGCTCGTTCCAAAATACCTGAAAGCACCACATAGAATACAGACACCTCAGCATTAACCAGAGCCAGCTGAACATGGCATCAGCAGCACCCAGGGCCTGCCTGTGTGGGAAGTTAGTTTGTGGATCAGGAATACTAGACAGCTTGCATCAAAGGGCAGCACATGAAGCAGGTAGGAGGCAGCCAAGCATAGATGCAGTGTGGCACAGGATTTAAAGTCAGGAAGTTATCCTTTGTAATTTTTATATATTGGAAAATGAATGTAAATATTTTAGCGTTCCCAAGATATAGAGCATATGAAGACACAGTGTAACAAACTGCATTACAATCATCCAACTCTGCATTACAATGGCAATTCACTAAACTAAGTGACATTTTGGGTAAGAATTGAAAAAAACTCTGCTTGTACCTGAAAGTTCAAGTCCCATAACTGGCAACATGATGTCATTGTTGGGCCCTTGAGGAAGGCCCTTAACCCCCCAGTGCTCCAGGACTGGCAGATCCTGCTCTCTCAAATGTATGCCACTTTGGACATAGGAAACCGCCAAATAATTGAATGTAAAAAGGATCTGTAAACTCTAGGGAACTGAGTTGACCTCTGACCATACCCCTCCAGTGAGTGTGATGCACTGTGTCTCCTCCAGTGTAGAATCTACAGCTGCTTGTTGTGGAGCTTCAAGCTGTGAAGGTTCTGGTGGAGGGTTCATTGGCACGCTCGCTTGAGTAAGAATGACCAGAGAGGGTGCTGGCGTCTCTGGTCTTTATTGTATCCTGCTCATTTTTTGAAAGATTCATTTGTTGATAATATTTTATGTTAAACAGTTTACAATCACAACATTTTCAATGACTGTTTATCCAGAAGAGGGGTACACTTAGGAATCTGATATTCTGTCATATTAATAAAATGAAGCTGTTCGATTAAAAACTAAAATTTACCCATAATATAAACAAGCCTCCCTTTTACGTAAAGAGTAGCCTACAATATACCTCATTACGATGCACATACATCGAAATGTATAAGAAGTCTTTCTGTTGTAGAAACGCATACTTGAGTATCTGAATATCTGATTGGTTGCATCGGACATGCAACAAGAGCGGCAGCCAATGATATTCGTCGTTGCTGACAAATCAAGAACCAGTGATCGTGTGCTATCTGTCGGTGTTATTGTCCTGTGTGTGCACTTGCTCACGGTGCAGGTACTGCAGATTATATTCTTTTTTTTGTAAGTTTGGTAAATTGTTGTGTTTACACCTTTGTAAAAACTGCATAAACAGTAATGTATCATGTCACTTTTCCTCGTTGTATTACCGTTTTGAAACTTGCCGGTATCAGTGTAGTTGCCAATCAGCGGCTATAACAAGAGCCATTGATACAATTCAAGCCTGCTTTTTAAATGAATGGGATGACTTTTTCATTTCAACGTAACAATAGCAAACGGGCTAAGTAGCTGTCTACCTGTTTTGCCGCTGCGGCTGTAAAATAGTATCCCTTGCTGCAGCGGAGTGTTTAAACTCCTTAGCTGTAGGCAGCGATTAAAATGTGTTTTCTTTTTTGAGTCTGCATTATCTTTTTTTTTTTATTACTGAAGTGCATTTCACTTAATAACGCACTGTTCAGTTTCACATGTGCATATACCTAAAAGCATGGAGCTTGCAGAATCACATTGTGTTAATACTGTTACTGTCTCCTGTCGGCTTTTTGCTAATCTACTTGCATGCAGGCTTTTACATCGGGAACTGTCGAGACCGGAACCGATGCTGGTACAAAACTATGGTAAATTTTTGTCATTTTTCTCTCCCCCTTTTGTTAGCACATCAATGAAGTTAACATCAATAGTTAACCTCGACATTAAATTCTCAGAGTGTAAAATGTAGTCTTCCAGTTTTTATGCAAATAAACCTACTTACTGGGCCATCATGCTTCACCCAAATAATAAATATGCATGTACAGTAAGAGTCAAAAGTTTGGACACGCCAAGCCACCTACAAAGGAGAGTGATAGTGTGTTGCATCACTTGACCATGGCACCTGACCTAAACACAGCTGAGATGGTTTTGGAGGATTCAAACAGAGAGTGCAGGAAAAGCAGCCAATGGATGCTCAGCATATGTGGGAACTCCTTCAGGATATCTGGAAAAGTATCTCCAGAGGTAGCATCAGCCAGTCCTTTTGGGAGCAATTGGGGATAAGGGTCTTCTTCCAGGACCTTTTGGTGGCATCATTATGCTGACCACGGGATTTGACCCAGCAACCATCTGAGTCCCAATCCACAGAGCTGCCCCCCACCCAAACAAAATATTTGTTTTTGTTTAATACTTTGTCAGTCGGTGTAGAATTTAATGTAAGTTATTTTATAGTTTTGATTTCTTTATAATTATTGTAAAATGTTGAAAATAGTACAGATAAACCTCTATGGGTGGGTCCAAACTTTTGACTGGTACTCCATGAGGGTAAACTGATGGAATGAGATATAAAACTTATTTTCTATTTTATCATTAAGAAGTCCAATGCTCATCACGTGAGCTGTGTATGAATATTTAACTGCAGATTCGAATCGCTGCACTGAACGCCTCATCGGTTACCCCCGACGACCATGGGGACCCCCTTACCAGCTACAAGAGCCAGACCAAGGAAGCTCAGGTAACATCCGACACATCTGCACTGAGGCAGATGTGTCAGATTTTTTCTTCTGAGAAAAAAATTATGAGTAAAGTCAGCTGTGGTAGTTTTCTCTTTTCTTTAAGGCAGGTCTCCTTGCTTAAATTTTACAGGTGATCTTTGAGGTTGCGACCGCACTTCAGGTTTTGAGTCGCAGGGAATGCTGCTTTTAATCATAACTGTGCTTGTGATTGTTTAAATGAAGTAATTATTGAAAATGATTATAAGTGCCTTGCAGGGTGATGTGTGGCAGAGCTGGTTAGAACATTGTGCCTGTGAGCGGAAGGTCACAGGTTCAAATTCCAGTCTCGACAGAGTGATTGAGCAAGGCCTTTAACCCACAATTTGCTCCAGGGACTGTCTGTCCCTGCGTTCTCAAAAAAAAAAAATGCAATTATGGGGTTGTGCGTAGCTCTTCCAAAAAATGGCACAGATCACTAACCTGAGGGTCTGGGCCTGACATTGAACCAGCATTCTGTGCTTGTGTTTGGAAGGTCACCAGTTGAAATCCCAAAGGCCCTTAACCCCAGTCGCTCCAGAGGAACCCTGCTCTCTAATCCTCACCTGTATGTCGCTTGGAAAAATATAATCTGACAAAATAATAATAATAATTATGAATAAAAGCCTGCAGAAGCCTCCTGTCAAATACAGGAGTTCAGGCAATAACATTTTTTAAGGCATTTTTTGCTTTTTCTGAGCAGCACTGTTCCCTGGCACCGCTGAGGTTCACAGCTTGAATCCCACTTTCCTGTGTATATGTGGATTTAGCATGCTCTTTCTGTGTAGCAGTTACGCTAGCTGGCATTTCTTAATTGCCTGTAACATGTGAGTGTGTCCATGTATGTGCCTTGTGATGCCGTCCCATCTAAGGTGCCCTCTTGCCTAATAGCCTGTGCTTCCCGTAGCCCTTCCCCCGCGACTTTGTCCAGGATTCGATGGAAAGGTAACACTTGTGCCCCCCCCCCCCATCCCTGATAGGAAGCGGAGGCATTTGCCCTGTACCACAAAGCCTTGGATCTGCAGAAACATGACCGGTTTGAGGAATCAGCCAAGGCGTACCATGAGCTCCTCCAAACTCCGCTGCTTAAGGAGGTGTGCAGGAAAGATTGCTGGAAATCTTTGATCGTTTGGCTCGGCCTGGCCTTTATTTCCAGAATCGCTTGCATGCCTGTTGTGGTTGGGAGCTGTAGGTGTAACATAGTGAGGTGTTTTGCTTAATTTCCTGTATAATGAGGTTTATTTGTTTGGTTTGATTTGTAAGAAAAATGTTTAAATTTAGACTGGTAATGCAAATTAAGGACTAATGGCAATGTAGCTTTTTGTGCCTGTGCTATCAGGCTGATTATAAGTGACTTTAAACCAGATCCCGAGAGGTATGACCCTGTACATGTGTCAGAAAGATGGCAGACTCTTCCTGTGCTTGGGGTACCAAGGTGAAGCCACCTGCCTTTTCTTTAAGGCTGTTCCCTCCGAGGACGAGCAGGCAGGCCTGAGATACACCGGCCTTATGCTGAAGTACTCCACCTACAAGAACCTGGGCAGCCTGGCCGCGCTGAAGGGCGACCTGGAGACCGCCATGGAGTTCTATCTCCAGGTAGCTGCAGGCTGTTCTGCGGGGAGGCTGTTCAGAAGGCGTCGAGTTTTCCGTTTAGTCCTATTCAGGGAATGGGGTTCTGTGAACCTAACGTGGAACCATGTGACTTGCTGGGTCACCGTAGGCCGTGCTGCTGGACTCCACCGACGTCAACATGTGGCACAAGATCGGCCTGGTGGCGGTGCGGCTGGTGCGGGTCTCGCTGGCCCGGCACGCCTTCGAAGAGGGCCTGCGCTGCAATCCGGATCACTGGCCCTGCCTGGATAACCTCATCACCGTGCTCTACACCCTTAGCGACTACAACTGTGAGTCACGCTGAACCTTACCCTCTCACCGCTGCTAAGCTACCCCCCCACTCAGAACAGTGCTGGAATGTTGTCAAAGAGCTCTTACAATACTTTGAGATCCTGTACTTGTGGTCCAGCCCTATTGCACAGAACAGGGAGGTAAATGAGAGATTGGCAGTGTGTGGGGAGATGGAAGAGGAGCCAATGTGACTGATAAGCAGGCCCCCCCTGAGACAGACGGGTGTGGGGGCGGGTGGGCTGCCTTCATTACGCCTCCCATTGAGGTGCCATGACAGCATGCCCATGTGGGCACCGCTCTCTGATATCCTGAGGAAGAGGCAGCGGCTGCGGCTCTCCCTCCGGGTCTGCGGGGAACCGGCGTCCACAGATGTTCTGCATCTTCATCACCTGCGATAGAGCAGGTGTAGAGAACAGAAGGAACAAGCCTGGTACAGAAAAACAGAAAATCAGAGGCTTGTTTTTCTCATGTTGCGGTGCTCGTGGACTCTGAGAGCCAGGAAGCTGCAGACGTTCTCATGTTCTTCTGTTACATCAGCTTAGCAGTTACGATGGAGCATGAGCTAGACGGTGGACGACTGTGCCTTCCGAGGCTCTTGTGTGGCCTCATGGGATTTATGGAAGAGACTGGGAGATCTTTAATGGTGATTCCTGCCCCTTCCTTCCAGGCTGTCTGTACTTCATCTGCAAGGCCCTGGAGAAGGATCCGTGCTACAGCAAGGGCCTGGTGCTGAAGGAGAGGATCTTCCAAGAGCAGCCCTGCCTCCGGAGGGACTCGTTCCAGATGTTCCTCAAGTGGTGAGTTTGGGCCTTCAGCTGGATCAGATGGGGGCAGATGTTGGCACTCCAGGCTACCCAGTAAACCATTGTGGATGTGAGGAGGGGGGAGTCGGACTGAGGGCTGTCTGTCCCGTTTCTGCCCCTTTTCCGGCAGTGATATGTCCATTCACTCGGCGGAGGTGGATGAGGAGGAGGCCAGTGCCATATTGGAGGAGGGGCTCGAGCTGCGTCGCCGGCGGCAACAGGCGGTGTCCACGCAGGAGCCCAAGCCAGACCTGACCCTGGTCCAGCCTATCACGTCCTACACGTAGGCATCGCCAGGTCACATCAGACCTGACTGGGGGGGGGGATCTACTTGTATTGCCTAGACTGTCAGAGATAAGAACATGGGTTTCCACTTCTGATGACTCTAAATCTGAATCTTGTGATCTGTAATGGACCTTTGATAGTGAACTTTATGGGATGGAACCAAGGCACTGGATGGGTTAAACAAGATGTTGGATGTGGCATGGAAGGCAGAGCTGACGAAAGTAATGGCTCGTGGGAGTTTTACTTGAAGAAAAAACGCACAAAAGTGATTGGCTCAGAGCGATAACCAATCAGGTTGTAGAGAAGGTGGTCCAAGTAACTAGAGGAGGTGGGACTAAGATCATTTTTCATTCTGCCCTCGGAACATTTTTGTGTAAGTAAAACTCCCATGAGTGAGGTAACAGGAAGTGTTAGAGGTGTGGATGGTAATGACAACTCATCCGGGTCACTTAGGTGGATGTGTGTGGGGGAGAACCTGCTGGCCATGTACCAGTACCAGACCACCTGCGAGCCGCCCCGGCCCAGCCTGGGCCGCAGGATCGACCTGTCAGAGTACCGCGACCCTGAGCGCCCCCCCGCCCCTCCTCCTGCCTTCACCCCCGTCAGCGTGATACAGACGCTGTCCAGCGCCACCACCAGCCCGTCCCTGCCGCCCCCACCCACCGTGGACCAGCTGGCTCCCACCCACACCCCCCCACAACCCTTGCCTCACAATGGCCAGAGTCAAACACCGCTGGAGGTGGCCCCCACGGCGCCCCCCCTAGGTCTGTACCTGCTGCTGCCGTCTTTCCCGAGTGTCCGTGGTTTATTTTGCTGTAACGGTAACTAGTTCTGCATCTGTAGAGATGATGGTGTCTCTGATGGTGTATGGTTTGTGACGGGCCTCTCCTTCGTGCCCTCCCCCCTCCAGGACTGGACCCCTCCCTGTGTGACAAGGCGAAGAAGCCCCCCAAGCGGAAGCGCGTGGTGGAGGATAGCGGGGAGACAGCCAAGCGGCGCTCGGCACGCGTCAGGAACACCAAGTGCAAGAAGGAGGAGAAGATCGACTTCCAGGAGCTGCTGCTGAAGTTCCTGCCCTCCAGGTAAGTAAGCGGCATGGGGATTCACCAGGGCAGGTCAGACAGACCTGACAACCCTCCTTCCCCTGTGAGAGCTGGCAGGATGTGCTGATTATATATCCACATCTGTAATTACAAGGTTTTCTAATTGATCAGAGCACAGGGATTCCCCGGACTGGCATCCCTTCCAGGGTGTCCCCTGCCTCGTGCCCAGTACTTCCTGGGATGGGCTCCAGGCCCCCCATGACTCTATACTGCATAAGCATTTATGGAAGATGGATTAGATTCATCTTTATTGTTATTGTGCTGAGTTCAGGTACAGAGCCAATGAAATACATCTAACCGTACGCAAAAGAAATATATAGAAATACAATAAATTAGACATTTAGATCAATTATAAACATGTGTAAAATGGTTCTGCACAAAATATGCATGAGGTAGCATAAATTGTGGATAAGGAAGTGCAGTGAGAGTGATTGTGTTAGGAAATATGATGGCATGCAATGGTACAGGTGCAAAGTATAGATACAGATTGGGCAAAATGAGATAGATGGGAGAGATGAAGGCATGGAGAGATGCCACAGTCCAAGTTCAGTATTAGTGTCAAGAGGTAAAGTGTGTGAGGATGGAGCAGTGGTTAAGGAACAGGACTAACCACCAAGTGGTATAAGTCCCGGCTCAGCTCTTAAACACGATTTCTTAGCCAGATCCTTTGGATCAGTAAGTTTAGCTTTATAAATGAGTGCTGGAGGTGCTGGAGGAGTTCGCCATGCTGAGTATAACCACCTGCTTTTAGAGGATGAGAGGATATTTTTGTGGTTGGGTGGCCCCACTGTCTGGAATGGAGTGTAAGGGTCTGATGGCACGTCTTCCTTAGGCTGAAGAAGTTTGAGCTGGAGGACGACGAGGAGAGCCTGGGGACCTATGAGACCCAGTCGGAGGTGAAGCCCGACTCCCAGCTGACCAGTGGCACCAGCAGCCTGCACTTTGACGCTGTGATGGTCATGGAATCAGGTGGGTGGTTTTCAGATGCCTCTCGCAACCCGTCACGTGTTGGTTGGTTGCTGCTCCGCACCGCTCACGGAACAGCATGATTACTTGTAGCTGAACATTTTGAGCAAATTTAAAATAATAATGTACAAATAATCTTGTACAGTGGGTGTTGCGGAGGATGTACAAGTGGCTGAAGCTGGGGCCCTGCTGTACAACTGGGGGGGGGGGTGACTTAGCTAGAATCGCTTCAGTGGGTTAATTCTCTATTAACGCCATGGCTGAGCAGGTAAATAATGTGATGTAACTTCCTGTGCTTTGATTGCTCACCTGCAGAGCGCCAGGATGTGCACGGCTTCCTCCTTGACAACCAGCAGAACGGCGGCATCCTGGAGCTGATGATGCGCTACCTCAAGGCCGTGGGCCGGCGGTACCTGGAGGAGTGGCCCCCTGGGCTGTGCGCCGTGGTACTCAATATTTACTACTACTGGAGGAGCCACAGCATCGGGCTTCCCAACCCACTACTCAGGGACTGCAGTGACCAGCACATCCGAGTAAGGGGGGGCATGGCTCTGACAGTAGGGGCGGGGTTTGGGGGTGTGGCCTTGTTGCTAGAGCTGAATATGTAAATGACAGGGAATGCAGAGTACCTGTTGAATCTGGGTTGGAGATCTGATACTCCAGCTATTACTGTGAAATGTGTCATTTTCTGCTGTGAAAGTCAGTAGGGACTTTGTGACTTTGTGGGGAATAAAAAGCTTTCCGCAAGTTTCAGCAAAGAGGAATTTATGTCTGTCACCCAAAAAAGTTGGTTGAAAGGTTGGTGCTTTTTTATTGGTTGGCTAAAAGGTCAGTGCTTTTTTTTATTGGTTGGCTAAAAGGTCAGTGCTTTTTTTTATTGGTTGGCTAAAAGGTCAGTGCTTTTTTTTATTGGTTGGCTAAAAGGTCAGTGCTTTTTTTTTATTGGTTTATTGTTTCCTGAGTGCCGATTGGTTCTCCCTGTGCAGGACATGATGGTGATGAGCCTCTCGTGCATGGAGCTGCAGTTGGAGCAGTGGTCACTGACCAAGGGCAAGACTGGTAGGGAGTGTGAGCAGTGTGTCTGTCCGTTTCTCTCTGGAGCTTTACACACACTGCAGAGCCCTCTCAGTCCCATTTTGATGTTTGATGTTAGTGATGCACATCCAGTAGTCAACTTTGATGTGTTCCTGGGCTTAGCGAGAACGCCGGACGCTGGCAGCCACGCTTCCAGTCTCTGTAGTGATTGTAAGCGAAAACATCTCAAACAGTGACTAACTACATATCATATGGTGTTTTCTGTTTTTAACCAAATCAACTTGTATTCCTTAGCTTTTCAGTTACTGGTATTTAGTTACAGTAATTATTTACTTATTCAGTGACTGGTTATTGATTTGCTTATCATATGATATTCCTATTCGACTTGCGTTATTTTCCACTTACGGTGGGTTCATTGGAACGTAACCCCATCGTAAGTCAAGGAGCATCTGTACGTGTAGATTGAAAATCAACAATTCCTGGAAGCACTAAGCAGTCTTATTTGCTTAAGCATGTCGTTATTGTTGCAATTGTGTGAAGTTTAAATGAGACCCATTACCATTTGACTCTAGCAGCAATTTTTAGACATGAAACGGCTTCCCTTTCTCCCAAGGTGTTTAAGTTATTAGCTGCGTTGTTTGCTTTCTGCGTCACTGTCGGTGGCTGACTGACTGAAATGCTGTAAGGGACGCACAGCGCGGATCTGTGTGTCCCTGAAATTAAAGTCCGGGAGTCCCAGCCCCCTGTCATTGCAGCTCACACAGCAGCCTTTGTTTGACGTGCAGTGGCAGTTGTTGCTAGGCGACCCAATTTCAAATGCGTGCCTCATTTCCAGTGTCCCCGCGGAAGGGCCTGGCAGGCCACGACGGCGAGCAGGCCCTCTTCCCGGGGCCCAACTTCCAGGGGGACCTGCTGCAGCTGGCGCTGGCCTCCTCGCAGCGGGACCTCTTCGGGGACAGGTGGCTGGCCTACCTGGTGCGAGTCTACTGGCTCAAAGCTCGCTTTCTGGCCCTACAGGTGAGTTCCAGTATTGCACTTTCCTCTCACAAGCACCCAAATTAACAGAGGGTAGCAGGTTGAAGCCCCAGGTGTGACCCTGGTAATAGAGGGAAGTTTAAATCCTTCAGAAGAGGAAAATACTTTCTCTTGGAGGTTAAGTGCTGCTATCAATTATAAAGAATCGTGGCTGATTCATGCTTCATGCTTTTGTTCAGGGCATGTCTCACTCTGCCCCTAGTGGGATGTAGGTGAACTGCAGCTGCTCTTAAAGCACAAAGGGTGGATGATGTAATATTTTTGGATGTTCAGTCTATGATACTTGATTGCAGCTCTTGGAGCCCAATACAGAATAAACTCCGCCCTCGAGTCACTTGGCGAATATTGCACATTTTTTGACAGGCTTTCGGTCCCATGGTTACTGTTTATGGGATGGCCGCGTGCTACGGTGTCTAGCGTGTGTTTCTGCGGAGATCTTTTTCTTTCCTCGAGTTATCGGATTGCCGGTCACGGTGTGTTACCTGTGATTCCCGCTTCAGGGCGACATGGAGCAGGCAGCGGACAGCTACGACGCCTGTGCGGAGATGCTGCAGAGTCCACCAGCCAGACAGGCAGCAGGCGGCGAGGGCCGCAAGTTCACCATCTACCTGCCCAACCTGCACATGGACGGGACCATCTCTGTGGATGAGGTTAGCTGGCGGCGGCCGTGGGCAGGGCTCTGTGGGCTTTAGCTTTTAAAAGGCCCAGTCTGCCCCTAAACATCATTGCCTTACTATGCTATATTGTTATTACACGTTTAGTACATCTTTCTTTCAGTCCAGTCAAAAATGAGATTTATGTGTACTATACTGATGGTTTGGAAACATTTCTTATTAAAATATTTGTATGGGTTCAGCAGTTTCGGTTGGGTAGGACTTAAGTCTGCACTCACTGCGAATGCACCAATAGCATGTCAGGTTGGAGTGCCGTTAGCCAATCAGAGCTAAAAAGCGAAGTCACCACTCCCAGACAGTCATGCTCCATGCTAAACTGCATGCCTACAAAATGGAGGCCGACATCTGCGGACTCTCAGCTCTGATTTGAAATGCATGGCTGCCGCCCCCCAGATCGACAAGAAGCTGAAGTCCCTGGAGCGTTGCCAGTCCCTGGAGGAGATCCAGCGGCTCTTCGAAGCCGGCGACTATGGCTCTGTCGTGCGTCTGCTGCGGCCGACGCTGAGCTCAGTCTCTGCCCGGGTCAAGGCCCTGGAGTTCGCTAGCTCCGCCCCTGAGAGACCCGCTCAGTTGTTGCTGCTGCAGGTACAGGGCATGTGGGGGGTGGGGTGGGGGGGGACTTGCTCACCACATCCCTTCTCCCATTCGGTGCACCAGCCCTTTGTATGTATCCAAATCTTATCCTGAACAGTTATTTACAGACCAACATGTCAGTGACCAAAATGCTGAAATGTATCCTCTAGAGTCTCTAGGTGTTTAGCGCCAGCTCTGTTTTTGGCTGTCTGACCCCCTGCATCAATATTTCTTTTTATTACAGTCTCATTCATGCGTGAATGGCCTGGTGGTTTAGTATGGCAGTATGGATGTCAGTGGAGGAATCAGCTGGACCAGTGGTCCACTGGAGTGTGTGGCATTTGCATTAATCAGAATCCTGCTTCTGTGGTTATGGCAGTTTATTTTTGTCCTTTTTTTTTTGTTCATCCATCCATCCCTCCTTCCCTCTTCTGTGCCCTTTATCCAATATAAGGTGGCAGTGGGCCCAAGGTGTGTGTCTATTACTAAAACAAATTCCATTTTCTTGAAATCTCTTGATCCTCTTTGGCGCCCCCTTGTGGACGCCGGTGGCAGAGCTCCCTGCTGCGACAGGAGGACCTGGCGCAGTGCTTGGAGTGCTCAGAGGTGGCGCTGCATGAGGCCGTGCTCCAGCTCAGCAGTTTCTCCCCACCTTCCTCCTCTTCCTCCTCCGCCCGGGACGAGTGGGCAGCAGCCATCACGCAGATGCTGGAGGGCATCGAGCTCTGCTTCTCACGGGAGCCCCAGCTGCTCAGCACCCCTCCGCGGGCCGCCAGCCTGCCGCGGCTAACGGGCAACCTCATTCAGGTCTGAGCACGACAATCCCAGTCAGATCCCGGACAGCAAGTTGCATGATAGTTAAACAGATGAACACATAATTACTTAACCCAGCTCAAATTTTTCTGTGTAAATATATATGAATGTGACCTGATGATGATGATATTAAGATGTCCCTGTAACTCCCCAGCTGATTGGCTACAGCATGTCGCAGCTTGATGACCTCAAGGAGGCACATTTCTCCTCCGTGCTGCCCTGGATCATCCTGTACCGCATCATCAAGCATGAGGAGGCCGCCTTCAACTCCCTGCTGCGGCAGCACATTCCTGCTCAAGACGAGGACGGTGGGTGCTTGCATGAGACTGTGTGCCTGTCTGTCTCCCTGAGTGTACCCCCCCCCTCCCCCACCTAAACACGTTCTGTCTCCACAGACGACCCCGACCGGCCCATGCTGCCCTCCTCCCTGATGCTGCTCAACACGGCCCATGAGTACCTGGGCCGACGCTCCTGGTGCTGCAACTCGGACGGGGCGCTTCTCAAGTTCTATGTGAGTCTCTCCCCTGCTCCTCCTGCTCTGCCCGTTTCCCTCTGGGTCTCTCCCCTGCTCCTGTCTGTCTCCTCACTCCCATGTGACCTCCCCCCCCCCCACCCAGGTGCGGGTGCTGCAGAAAGAGCTGGCAGCCTCCATGGGCGAGGACACTCACCCCTACAAGGAGGAGCTGGAGACGGCCCTGGAGCAGTGCTTCTACTGCCTCTATGCCTACCCTAGCAAGAAGAGCAAGGCGCGGTACCTGGAGGAGCATTCGGCCCAGCAGGTGCTCTCACCTACACCAGGGGGCGCTGTCATCCCTGTACTACATGCTACAGTGTTTCTAGTATGACTCTTTCATATAAACTGTTAGCTGCCAGTGTTTCTTTAATTATAGGAATGACAATCCTACCATTACCATTATTTGGTAATTTAGGGAAACCCAAGAATGCTTTTCTTCTCCTTTGAGAGATAAGAGTTACGGAGTAATCATCTGGGAACGACCTCACCACCCCAGCCGCCCACCTAAATGAGCTGGTTTGGCGTGTGTGGGGTGTAGTGCTCTAGCTGGGCCACCAGAGGGAACCCCGAGTTGCGCAGGGAGTTCGAGGCTCTCAGAGGAGCTGATGGTGGAGTTTATTAGGTAACAAACAGTGAGAAAGCTTAGCGATTAGGTGATGGCTACCCCACGAGAACAGCATCAGGAGTTGGACTAACAAACAAGTCAATAGATGTGTGATTGATTTTCTCTCAGGGAACCTGAATGAGATTAATTATCTGCAGGCCTCTCTGAACAAGCATTTAGTAGAGGGTCTGGTGTTTTATTGAGAAAGGGAAGGACTGGGATGGTCGTCTCATTCTCTGAGTGTGTGTGTGTGTATCTGTGTGTGTGTGTGTGTGCGTGTGCATGCGTGTGTGTATCTGTGTGCGTGTATCTGTGTGTGTGTATTTCTGTGTTTGTTTGTGTGTGTGTGTGTCTGTGTGTGTGTGTGTGTGTGTGTGTGTGTGTGTGTGTGTGTGTGTGT